GCCAACGCTGTCCTCGCCGGAGCCCGCGGCGGCCCTGCGTGCGGCCCTGTCCCCGCACCGCGACCCCGCACCCCGCCGGCCGAGCATGGCCGCGCGCTTCTCGCCGGGGCCCCGGGCCCGGGCCGGGCTCCTGCCGCCGCTGCTGCTGCTGCTGCTGCTCGGACTGCTGGCCCCGGGCGCGCAGGGGGCGCGGGGCCGCGGCGGCACCGAGAAGAACAGCTACCGCCGCACGGTCAACACCTTCTCGCAGAGCGTCAGCAGCCTGTTCGGCGAGGACAACGTGCGCGCCGCTCAGAAGGTGGGCGCCGGGCCCGCGGTCACCTTGCCCCGGCCGCCGCGCACCTGGCGCTGGGGACCGGCCTGGGCTGAGCGCGGCCTCGGGGCTGCCGGCCCTGGCCGGGCGCGGGAAGCTGGGGGCCCGGGCCGGGGGAGGGGGCCTCTCCTGCGCGCCGCGCTTCTCCTTGGACCTTGGCCCCGCGGGCGGCGCGGCCCCAGCCTCTCCAGGCTGCGCTGACGCCCGCCGCGCCTCTCATTCATTCATTCACCACGTCTGAATGGGCACGGACTGTGAGCCAGGCACCGTGCCCGCTGCCCAGGGCGCCCTGTCCTGCGACGCGGCCCCTGTGCCACGCTGCTGCGCTGTCCCCGGCACCCCCGGATTTGTCCCGGCCTCGCTCCCCGATCCACTTCCCCCCGGCCCCTTAGGCCCTCCTCTTGCTGCTTGGAAGATATTCAGGCTTGTTTCACTTTACAGGCGAAGAAAGGGCGCCCTGCGGTCCCTCTGTTGCTTTGGCAACGCGAGCACCTACTGTGTGCGGGGCCTTTCACTGGGAGCCTTTTGTTTGTTTGGGGGCAGTCCGGGAACCTGCAGCCCCCAGGGAATGGTGTTGAGCCTTAGGAGGAGCGCAGGGAGTTTTCCCCGATTCCCGCTTCTGCCACTTCTTCTCTGGATCTGGGTGAGATAGGTGCGCCATTCTGGGCCGAAGTCCCCCGACCAGCGCCCGAGAAAGGGGAAGTTAATTAATGGGGGCAGTTGCACGTGGTAATGCGGTTCCCTTGCTGTTCCTTCTGTTAATTTCTTCTCTCGCCGCGAGCCCTGGGGTTTTGCAGTGGAGTGAAGCTTGGATTCAACCTGGGGCTCTACCATTTACAAGCTGGATGGCTTTAGGCAAGTGGCATCACTTCTTTGGGCCTCAGTTTCTTTATCTGTTAAATGGGGGTAGTAATAATACTCCCTTCACTTACGAGGTTGTAATTATGAATAGTTGATACCTTCCTGGCCCAGAATCATAGCTAAAAAATTAGTGTCTGCTGCTGTTGTTATTTTCTGGCCAGGGTACAAATCAACTTTGCTTAGCCATGCTGGAGGACCTACAGTGTTGAAAAAAAAAGTTTTCTGGTCCTTGAGATGGAAGGAGGAAAAAAAGAACATTAAAACCCAAATTAGGGCCGGGCTCGGTGGCTCACACCTGTGATCCTAGCACTCTCGGAGGCCTAGGTGGGAGGATCACTTGAGCTCAGGAGTTCAAGACCAGCCTGAGCAAGAGTGAGACCCCATCTCCACTAAAAATTAAAAAATTAGCCAGGCGTGGTGGCGCTCACCTGTAGTCCTAGCTACTTGGGAGGCTGAAGCAGGAGGATCGCTTGAGTCCAGAAGTTTGAGGCTTCAGTGAGCTAGGATGATGCTACTATACTGTAGCCCAGGCAACAGAGCGAGACTTTGTCTCAAACAAAAAAAAAAACAAACCCAAATTAGATTGGCTGGATATTCTTATTGCATAAAATGAAATACAGGTTAATTTGTTAGAAAAACTGTTAACTTCTGACCAACCATCCTTTCCTACGGGTGTGTGGATGCCTTTTGTCGAGGAGTGGGTCTGTGTCTTCATACTGCAGGGGAAATACAGTCTGGGGGACAGAACTCTGTGTAGGTGGCCAGAGAGGGAGAAGGGAGCAGGCCGAACACCTGGAGGCTAAAAGGTTGCCCGTGAGTCTGCCTGGGCATAGGGGTGTGGGCGAAGGGAGTCTGCACGCACTTTCCTCTTGCTGCCGTGCCCGAGCCGTGTGAAGGCAGAAATCATTTGTTTTAGAGCAAAAAGAAGTCTGCCTTTTTCATGCAGGGTAAGCACAAGGAGCCCCATGCCTCAGCTGATGTTTCCATGGGACAATCTAAGGTCAACAGACATGGAATAGAAAATGGATATTTAAGAGTTTTTACATCTGGGTTGGTGTCAGTAAGAAAGAATCTGAGAATCCCGGGGTCAGAGCTCTTTCTGGGGCAAACCAGAGTTTGTGCCTTCAGCGGGGATGATGATAACTACTAACTTCTGTTATTGGCTTGCGATGTGCTAAGTGCTTTTATAGATAAAACTCACTTGATCCTTAGAATACCCCCATGAGGCAGGCGTCGTTGAATTTACAGAGCGGCGATGGCCGGCTTCAGTTCGGACTGAGTGGCGGAGCCGGGATTTGAACCCCGGCAGAGTGGGTGTGGATCCCACATTCATCCTTGTCATGGTTTTCCAGCCTCATGGCCCTGTCCCTGTTGCCTCAGTCGGTGCAGCATCTGGAATGAGGTTGACCTGACTTCTTTTACTTGTGCCGAGTGTAGCTCAGACCAGCCAGGCTTGAGGATATTGTTTTGTTGATTCTGATTGAAGGAAACTGGGTCTGCCGGCAAGTGTAGTTTTCAGCGTGCCTGGGTTCACTAATTTGAGCCAGACCTGCTTTGTGGGTTGTGAAGTTTGATGGTATTTAAAAAAAAAAAACACCCCATATTCTAATCTGGGACTTGTCTGAAATAAACCCATGACCTTCCTATTTGGAGCATGGGGCCTGCTGTCCAATAGACATGGGTTTGAATCTCAGCTCAGCTTCCCACTTGCTCTGTGACCTCGGGCCCGTTGCTTTACCTCTCTGTGTCTCATCTGTGCAGAGGAGATAAAGGGGGGAGTTGAAGGGGACAGGCTGGATTGTACAATACCAGGCACTGAATAAGCATTTAGTAAATGGTAGAAAACTTATATACAAAAGGGGTTTGTCTGCTAGGAGAGTGATAGACTCATTCATTCATTTAAAAATTATTAAACAACTTATACATGAGTGTTCACAGCAACCCTTTTTATAATAGCCAAAAAGTAGAACTATCCCAAGTGTCTATCAGCTGAGGAAGGGATAAACACAGCGCGCTCCGTCTGTGTAACGGAGTATGACTCAGCCGTGAAAAGGCGTGAACTGCTGAAACATGCTGCAAAATGGACGAACCTTGGGAAAAAATGAAAAAAGCCAGACATGGAAGGCCATGTGTTATAGGATCCCATTTACAGGGTATGAAACGTCCAGAACAGGAAGATCCCCAGAGACAGACGGCAGACCGGTGGTGGCCACTGGCTACTGGGGGAGGGGCCGTGGGGACTTACTGCTTAACTGATGTGGGGTTTCCTTTTGGGGTGACGGAAAAGTTGGGAACCAGATAGTGATGGTGGTTGCACAACCCGGTCAGTGTCCTTACTGCCGCTGCATTGTACACTTTAAAGTGGTCAATGTTATGTGATGTGCATTTGACCACAATTAAAAAAAAATATTAAGCACCTGCTGTATGTACAAGGCACAGCAAATGATCCCTCTCAGGGAGCTTTTATGGTGGGGTGGCAGTGAGGGGACAGGCCATAAATAAGTGTAAAGTAGGTGAAACAAGATTATTTTGGAACGATAGCGCCGTGAAGGAAGTGATAATATTGGTGGGCAATTTTTGCATCAGCACGGTATGTGGCTGGCGCTGTTCTGAGAGTGGCTCTGTTATTAATCACCCTATTTTGCAGATGAGGAATTGGAGACATAGGAAGGTGGCATCTCTTGCCCACAGTTCAGCTGATCAGTGGTGGAGAGTGGGCAGCGTCCACGCTCGACCTCCGCAGAATTGAAAGTACCTGGAATAGAGTGACCAGTGGAGTGGGCTGGCCCTGCCTGAGAAGGAGCCAGCCGGGGAAGGGCATTCCAGCAGAGGGAACTGCCAGTGCTAAGGCCCTGCAGTGGGAACGGGCTTGCTGTGTTCCAGGGCTAGAGAGAGGGTCGGTGTCTGGCTGCGGCAGGGTAAGCAAGGGAGAGAGAGAGAGACGAGCCCAACACGCAGGACCTGGGCTTTGACTGAACACACTGGACTAGATGCCAGAAAGGCATGGAAAAATGCCAAAGGGAAGAAGACCGAGGAGGAAGAGGCAGGGGTCTTAAGTGTCCTGCCTGGAGGAGTCGGGGCAGAGGTGTGGTGCAAAGGACGGATCTGGGAGTTGGATCTGGGAAGATGAGTTGCAGGGCTGGGACATTGGGGCAAGGTCCACAGGCGGCTACATTTGCTGTCTGGATCTTGGGAGCTCAGGGAAAAAATACAGTTGGACTGACACGGTGGGAATACCCTGAACACCAAGCTGAGAAACTGGCGCGTTTTTTCCCTTGCCCCTTGGTCATAGTTGCATGAAATACAATTTCAAATAGTTCAGGAGCTTAAAAAAGTAAATGTGCTTCCACCCATGACCCCATCTCCCAGACCCCTTCCCAGAAGCAGCCAGATAGATATTCTGAACATACATAAACATAAAGACATAGATCCTGCCCTCCTGTTGTTGATTTTTTTATCTTGCACTATGAACGCTGTTTTGCACTTTCCTTTTTTTTTTTTTTAATGAATACATTTTGGAAAGCAGACCTTATCAGTACCTGAAACTTTGCTTCCTTTTTTGTGAAGGGCTGCAAAGGGAAAATTGTTGCAAGGATGTACCGTAATGCAACCCACCCTTGATGCTTGACAGTTGCTCCTGTCTTGTGCCTCTCCGAATGTGACTGCAGGGAAGGTCTTTCTATGCTTATTATTTCGTGGGCACATAGACAAGTTCATCTGTACATTGTTAGAAATGAGATCGCTGAGTCAAAGGGTCTTTGCATTTTTAAAATTTTTAATTGAAATGTCATTGGTGCACTTTTGTGTGTCTCAGTCTACAACATGATGAATTGTCACACACTGAGCACACACACCGAATGCAGATCTAGAAATGGACTGTTCTAGCCCCCTGAAGTCCCTTTGTGGGCCCACATGGTCACTAAGCCCCAAGGTCACTAACCCCTCAAGGTCACCACTCTGCTGATCTAAGTACATCAATTCACTTTGCTTGTGTCCTGTACGCTCCGTGCACGTGGTTAGTATTGAGAGACGTTACTAAACACGCCTCAAGAGGGCGATACCACTTTCCACGCCCACCAAACACTCATGAGGGCTGGTTCCCAAACCCTCTCCAGCGCAGTGGG